TCAAGATTCTTAGCCAAACCTTAATCGTGATTGAGCCTGGTACCCCTACCAACGATACAGTTATTGGCCCACCCCAGGTGAACTCAAATAGGTCAGCACCACGATACAGTGTGACAGCAACCGCAGAAGATTGTAAAGGGCTTATCTTTTCGGCTTGGCTAGGCTGTGGATGTGAGACTCCAGGACCTACAAATAGTTGTCGGCGTGTGCGTTGTAGAGTTATCATCTCGTAGGCCTGTGCCAGTTGCGAGGTCGACTGATAGGCTAAATTGTCGACTGTCACTAGCCTGTGTATATTGAAGACATCGTAAGGATGAGTCTCCCGAAGATGAGTGCGATTGAGCGCTGATTCTGTGGGTTTAGAGTCAGCAGAGCGCCTACGACGAGTAGTGTACAAGATTGGAGTGGCAGGGGTTCTCAAAAGTACGTCCTGTAGAAAAAAAGTAAATAATTGCTTGCTACTAATTCACATATCAATTATAATATATTCATTATACGCATTTAAATTATGCTGATTTGTATTTATAAATGATTAAATTGTTTTCTGGCTGTCGATTATTTTTTGTGTCTGGCAATATATAATAGCATTTTAATTTTTTGCATATATCATTTTTCCTTCAGCCTCCTATGGCTTTACAGAACAAATGGCATGTTTGCAGTTATCCAAAAATCGTCTCTAAAGCAATTTCTAATTCAATTACAAATTTCGTCCTAACATGTTAGTTAATAATAATCGTAAAAGAATGATAAACTGATTACAAACACGTGCAATGTGAAGAGATAAATGGTCCAATTCTACCGCAAACAGCAGATCTGTTTTCAAATGGCCAGCATACTTTAAGTGAGTATTAGAAGTGTCTAGAAGGTATTCATAAATTTATTGAATAAGCCAGTGTTCTCTGATTATTCAGATAATACATTGGCAGTGCATAAACACACCACACATGCAACTATGCGTCAGAATATTTGTCAAAATTGCAGAAACACGTTGCATTGCATCAACTTCGCTCATCCCCAAGCCTGTATGCCGGGGAAACAATAATCTTCCTTTGGTTTCGAAGCTTACATTGTGGCATTTTATGTTCACTCTGACGTTTTTAAGATCCAGAATGGATTCCTCGAAGATACCAAGCAGTAAGCGAAAAGTATTAGTCATAGCTGAGGACTACGTCCATTGGCTTCTTGTGAGACTAATTTACGAAGCCCTTGCATCCATTTTTGATATGATGGAAAATTTAAATTTATTTCAATTCACTTAAATTTACGCCTTAAGCAGAGAAACAAAATACGTAAATGAGCATTTACTTTTTACTAAATAATGATGATGTAATATTCGCCCATAGTCCCTTGATGCATGCTTATTTTTATACAATATTCATACAAATGTTTGCCATTCTATTCAAGCATAATAGTGATACAGGAAGTAATTGACAATATTTGTACAGATAACTTTATTTTACTTAAGATCACTCATATTCCGAAAATGTGATCCAATGAAAATTGGTCTCCTAAAAGATTTTCTCACATAGTTCCTAAGTGGTAACGTTTCGTCACAATTAAACTGTACCTTTCTAAAATCCCGTTGGTGGTGTTGATGAGACGTGAAGGAGGTCAAAACTGTAATCCAGCATGGCAAGCAGAGCTATATGAAATTTAAGCCTATCTTAAATCCTACGCATAGCATTGAGGAACAGACTCAACTGTCAGTTCTTACATCACCAAAATAGACCTATGATGATTAAGTTATTATTTAATTTGTGAGGTTAGGCTTCAAATTCAGCTTAATGATGCAGCAACTATCATCTTTTCGAAAAAGAACTTAGCTTTATAAGGATGGTGGTCTCGAAATTCTACTTATAAACAAAAAACGTAGCCAGATCTGTTTTTATCTTAGTGACGACGCTATACGTCAATTGTATGATAAGATTCAACATCAATTTCTTTGAGTTTAAATGCAAAATGGGAGACTTAAAATGATTGAAGTAGCTTTAAAATCCGACCACTCCCTTAGAATGGAGAAGGTAAGCATAGTTCACCTACCTCTTACGAAATCACATTGATAAGTTTGCCTATCCGAGCTTATGAATATTGTTTACTGAAGGCTCATTGAAGGTTATAAAACTCTCTGAAAGTCCGTAAATTTTTCCCGTATTCTGAAGTATAAGCGCATGTTTGCTAGTTTTATCAAGAAATTCGAACCATAAGATGGGTTAATCACGCTTTTCCCCTTCTTCATACTTCACTTATCTGCATCTAGGCATTGCAGAAAATGGCTGACCAGATCCCTAAGTTCTAGGTAATAACCTTAACAAACTATAAAGGGCAAATAACTGTCGAGCGAATAAAAAATAAAATGAGATTTATTGACTCAATTTCGTTTTAGGTGATGAAGAACTGGTAGAAGAAGAATCTTCCCACAATGATATGAGTTGAGCTGACATTTGCATCCAATTTCACATATTTTTCGAATTAAGTGTTGTTTTCGTGACTACCAGTAAATCAGTATTATGAAATGTATTCACCCAATTTCGTTTAAGGTGATGAAGGACTGGTAGAAGAATAATTTTCCCACAATG